GGTCATGTCAAGGTTAGTTTGAATTCCATCCTACATTAAGACTTCTTTCACAGCTATTTAGCTCTGCAGCCTACTCCCCGCTGGGGTCTGCCCCTTGGGCACGTCAAAACTTCAGACCTGACAAATCACACACAGATGAAGCTGTACAGTTTTTTAAACAGTTTCATCAGTAAACATTTGCCTATACAATATTTTTTCTCAATAAATCGAACTGCATTCTCTCAATTGTGGCATCAGGAAAATTTACTCTGTATGCAAAAGCATTGTTCCATGAAAAAATTGCTAAATATGAGGCACTCGGCAGTACAGCTAGTATTTACTCAGAGGCAAATATTTTAGAAATGAATTAATGTGTTTTCTGTTAGGTCCTGTTAGATTTTAAAATCAGATATGCAAAATGAGCTGGGATATCCTTCGTTGAAATGCACTAACATTCTTGAGCAACCCACTATCTTCCAGCCCTCATTCAACTATTTGTATCCACAAATATGAATAATTCATTAATTAGTCTTTATGACTCTTCGTAGATATTAATAGGAACCCATAAATTCTCATTATTGGTAGACGTGTGGTTTAATGATTGCCATGAGAAGTATTTGAAAAAAATATTATTAAAAGTTTGTGAACAAGGTAACTTGTTGAATGAAATCAGAGCAATATTCAAATTTATGAATAGTTTATGTGTACAGCAGTCAAGATATTTTCGGCTTCCCACTTGGGCTACTATAATTAACAATTACTTCTATGTATGTTTGTGGATTGAGTGTGTACATGCTTGCATTTGCTGAAAAAGTATACATCTCTGTCTCACTTCAGTATGGGCTTAGTATTATATGTTCATAAGTATATATTTAAAAACATATGAATTTAGGAAACATGGTTTATATTTTATTCAATGCATTTCCTACTTTTCAAGTAAAAAAGTAACAATAAAGATAAAATAAGCAAGTTATTAAAATGTATTAATATACCACTAAAACAATAAACATTACCTTACTTCAGCCATAAATCCATTTAGAAACAAACTAAAGGATGTTAAAGCAATTTGGTCACACCTGCTTGGCTTGGTATTATTTTTAAATATTTCTACTAAACTTTTAAAAGTGTATTTTGTATATTGAGGTTTTCTTTAATCAGCTTGTTAATTTGATATTTGTATTTTTCTTCTTCTGAGTTTGGAAGCAATGCCAATATAAACATTAAGAGCTTCTTGTGATGAAAATGTCTTTGCTAGGGTTGGAATCAACCCAGACAATTTTGGGAGGGATTTTTAAGGACTGAGAGCAACTAGCATGAAGACCTTGTCTCATGTTCCCACCAAATGTATTTGTAATAATGATAGGACAGAGAGAAGTGTGTATTACAGTAATTCAAACAAGAAGTAATTAAAACACAGGTCAAGGAATTGGGCTGGGCATCTTGAGAAATGGGTGCCCTTAGCACACTTGCCTTAGATATGTAAATGTACCTCTAGCCATTTTCAACATCTAACATCCCAATTAAGGGCTGAATGTTAGAATATATCTAAAAATATGTTGATGCTTTCAAGCAGAAGTAAATTCTTGTTCCTGATTTCCTTTTCAAAGGAAACAGCCTGGAATAGCAACGAGTTCACTGTGCATGTGAATGTGTGCAACAAACACCCGAACCCATTGGACAATCTTTCCTACGGTAGTTGTTTCATACATGAAATTGCAAACAGATTAAGGTGAAGCTTAATAGGTTTTAGAATAGCTTAGTTTAGTTTAGTTTAGTGTGTAAGCCTAAACATATTCCTTGCTCTCTTGACATGTTTAGTTTCTTTGCCTCAATGTACTTGACTGGAGACTATGGATTTTGCCATCCTTCTTCCTCGTGCACTCCAATGTGAGAGTGATCTCAGTTCCTGCTAGTTATGCTACTTCTCTAAATTAATGATTGATTGTTTTAAAAGCATTAGAGTGAATAGAAGCAATAACACAATTTGCTAGTCAATCTCCTGGCTAAGCAGATGAAGCATATTCTGTCCCATAATAATTTTCAAAGTCAAACAGAAATGGATCTAAAATGTTGGAAGAGAATAAAATGGAACTATCAGATAGTACTCTGTATATGGAAGAACACATACAACTTTCAATTAAGTGTTTCATGTCTTATGTGATCAACCTTGGAAGTACTAGAAAAATATTGATAATCTGATAATACATTTCTTCTTTGAATAAGTAAAGCTGGAGTTCTTGGCTTTTAATTAGCATATTAGTGAGCAGCAATATACTTTTAAACAGGCTTAAGCTGTTAAGAATTTTTAAAAAGCATCTTACCCCCTTTTGTTTTACAGGACAAAATGTACTGCCTTCTACAAATTGCTTGATTGACTGATGAAGTGTGTAATTATAGTTGCGCTGCCATTTTGACAAAGCCACAATAACTTATTGTAGTTTAGTTCCTACTTAAGACACACCACCCTTTGCATAACAAAACCCAGTTTTACTGGTCTATTTTTTATTCAGAACAAAAGGCACCTGGAGATATTAACAAGGAAATTTAGAACCTAGGGAAAAATAATAACATTGGAACACAACTGCAAAGGGGGTGGTGTTTGTACAGTTATTTCAAGAGGAGTGGTATCTAATGAAGAGTTGTCTAAAGGGCTGCTTGTTTGGAACTAATTAAAGACAGATCTTCTAAATAGAAAAAGGATCATGGGAATTACATTAGGTGTCTGGAGACTTGTTATTCTTTTGGCACTCTGATTGTGGAAGTTGTTAGTCTAGGAATAAAGCATCCCAATAACAACTCCTTCCTGCTCACTCACTATTGGCTGAATAGTTGTATTTATGTTACTGGCCTTGTTGCAATAAGATTCATATCAATGGTCAGAGTCCTGGAGGGGAAAAAAAGCAACTTTTTTTCCCCTTTGCATTAACACACCTCGGTGAGAAGAGTCTTACGCTTTCACTCATGCATTTTCAGCCTTCAATTAACGTGAAAGCAGTACAATGCCTACACAACTTCTCTTGCCTAGTGGTGCACCATTTATCATTGCAGTTTTACATTGACCTTGACACCCACTTCATTAGAATAAAGATTGTCTACCATTTAGGTTACATTGTTCCTCTGCACAGAGACCCCATGCAAATTTTCTGTTCAGATAGAAGAGCTGTGAGCCTGTCAGAGGTCATCTGCATTAAATGATTGCAGCTATTTTCCAACTGCTTCTTTTCATTCTACTCAATTCAGGCTAGGAGGATCAATCAAGCTTTCTGCCTGAAACAGTGGGACTGCTGGGAATATAACTGTTTTTGGTGGTAGTGGATATGCCCTAAACAGTATTAAATATTTTATATCAACTCATTAAAGGGCACAAAAGATTTTACAGTTACAGTCAAATTTTAAATCTTTTGGATCACATTATTTCATAAAAGTGGAGCAATTGGTTTTTAAAAGAAAATGCATTACTTTATTATGGTAAAATAAATTCTTAAAAAAGAGTTTTTCTTTCATAGAATTGTGACAAAGATATAATTGGGGAGGTGGGGAGTTTAGATGAAAGACATAAATGGTGGAGCGCGCGCGCGCACACACACACACACACACACACACACAGAGGGAGAGAGAGAGAGAGAGAGAGAGAGAGGTGCTGACCATCTCTCTCAGTGAATGTATTCATTCCTTGCTGAAATTATTTAAACAAAATGAATTTTTGTTTTGCACTTGCATGTTCATTAATCCTTTTTATTGTGCATAAATGACATTTTTTATTCTTTCTTAAAGGACTTTACAAGAATAAGTTACTGATTTCTTCCTTCAGTTTTCAAGGTGATATAATTGGAGTTAAGTTTAATGAAATACGCTTTTTGAACTTCTGTTGGGGAATTTTCAATTCATTTTAATATAGGAGTTTGATTTATATTAAAAATAATGCAATGTATCCCCAATTGACAATACATAGCCAAAGTAGTATAATTTCAAAGTAGATCATGCCACTGCAATAGCTTAGAGAAAAAGAAAACAAATTCTTAACCCTTGAAATTATTTGCTTATGAATTCGGACTACTTTAAGCAATATTGCAGTTTTTAATTTCCTCCCCAAGGCTTAGCAGCAAATTTGTCCCAATAATAGGAAAACTAGTTATTCATTTAAAAGGACAACTATAGAAATCTTTATAATTTTTCTGTGCAGTTATTTAGCATGCTCTGATAGAAGGAGATTGCAAGAAGTTTGAACAAAGTAATGGCTGCTAGACAAAAATATTCATTCTAAGACCTGAACACCAACCAGACATTCTGACTGTATTTGCAAGATATATGAAATATGGAATATAATCCTGCCTCTGGATTGTTCGTAAAATGTCTTCCTTTGGTGTTAGGAAAGGACTTAGTGCCTAGGAGCTGTTGAGAAGGGTAGCCTGGCCTCTAACAGATTCCTTCACTCTGCATGTATACAGCTGAGCTTTGGACCCTGGGCTTTGGAATAAAAAGAGTCTTTGTTCATTAATGAATGGCATTAGGCATGGGCTTCCTGAGGGGCCACCATGAAGCCTAGGCGTGAAGAGCAGGAATATTAGCCAAACAGCAAAGGATGTGTATTTATGTAGGCAGATGACAGGCAAAGAGTCATGCATAGGTATCAGTTTTAATGCAATGTACATTTATTAATGTAATTGGAGAATATATCCACAGGGCAGCGTTCTTAATCTGTGCAGCCCATAGGAAGGAGTTATTTGCAAATGAAGTGCACGTATGTGTGTTGTAAATGTGCTCATACATGAGATGTATTTATATCTGGTAATACAGTAACTCCTTAGCAAAAGAGAAATCTGTGAACACTTGCAGAGTGTGTTTCAATGAAATTAGAAGCATTGTTTAATTCCTTAAAGTAACAGGCATTATTCTGTTGTTAGGAAAACAAGTCTAAAATGCATGATATAAAATATGAAAAAGTGAATCCCACTCCCAATAACATTCCAGCCATAGAGAAGTGTTCCTTGATTTAATTTTTCTTTCCCTTATACTCACAGCTCGCTATGTTTGGTATGTCTGGTCTTTTTTCACTTTAACCCACAGAAGCATCATACAAAAGTCTTACAATAGATGTCTTAATCTCTCTGTGTGCTTTTAAAGCATTATTTTGAATTCGATCATGCAACCTTTTTTCCTCTCTCTCTCTCTCTCTCTTTTTTTTTTTTTTGCTTTCCTCTTCTGAAGTTTTATTACAACAAAATTCCCAGGGAGCTTTAGACCCAAGGGCTGCATAATATTGCCCTAACATTTCACTCTAGGGCAAGAATAGGAATCTAGATCCTGATTTTTGTGGGGCGAGGGTGGGGCAGGGGTGCCCATTGCAGCTCTTTCGTGAAAAGCATGCAATAAAGACTTGGTCTATTATTAAATGTCAAAATTATTGTTGTTGTTATTATTATTATCATTAACCACAGAGTTGATATCCATGATCTTTTCATAATGATTTCTTTCTTTGACCTCTTAGTGACTAGGCATCTTGTTCTTTAACACTGAAGGAGACAAAAAAAAATGCTTAGTTGCTCAATGAGTGCCTTCTAGGCTGGTTTCAAAATGGCTTATTCTTCTGGTTTCCATGGTGACAATTAATGCTGTTTCAAGGCATTGTTCCAGTCTCTGTTTGGACAGAATTTTGGGGTGTGATTTTTCACACACGCACACACACACACACACAGACACACACGCACACACTTAAAGAAAAAGCTGGACACTTTAGGAAACATTCATCACAAAATTCTCTTAATAATCTTTTCTACATTTCCTGCTTATGTTCCAGTGAACTGTCTTTATTACAAACTTTTTACAAGATATCCAACGTGCATTGGTTTTAATTAGTTTAAAAGATTGTAAGTGGAGAAGAAAAAAAGAATGAGGGGAAGAGAAGGGAATCAAAATTCCTCAGCTTACATCATGCTCCTGCCTTTTTCTCTTGAGTGGTTTCAAAATAAACCACTCTATTTATCCATAGATATAAACATCTGACTTTGCCATTAAAATATGTATGATTTTTTTTCTGCAGGCAGATGAAGTAGAAAAAATAAATATTAAATCATTTTATTTAATGTAGCTATTGTTGGACGATGGAGAGGAAAAAAGTGGAAATGGTGTGACTTTTAAAATTATTAATCTCATTGTTGGCTATTGAACAGTAATCTATATCATAACATTCACAGCCTGTCACAATACAGCCGTCTTTGCTCACTTAATGCTGACGGTAGAATGAATATGAAGATTAAATTATCTTCTCACCACAGGATAAAGAACTCCTGCTAGACTAGGGTTGTACAGCACTGATAGAACTGGGAAGCTAATTTTGCAGAGGGTAGGTGTTTGAAGGGTAAAAAAAATAATAATGTGCTATCAAAACCTTAGCTCAACAGTACAATAAGCATTTTTCTCAGTGAAATAAATAACTTCAGATTAAGTCCTTTAGCTTGAAACAATATTGACTGTTCTTTTCATAGCTGGTGCATCTTTCAGTTAAATGTTTTCCCCCTTATAACTGTTCCAGCCAGTATACAATTCATATTCTAGCAATTAGCATCTTTTATCACGCAGTTTATGCAGTATGATACCCTGTGAGAGAGGCAGAAAGCATATAGAAACCTAACCTATTTATTTGGTTTAATGTAATAATCTTTTATAGCATCTGTCACAAGAACTCTTTGTATTATGTTGCATAGCGCAACCACTTTGTTTAGAACTGAAATTAAATGATACCCATTAGGTCTTTATGATAACTAGAGTATTGTTAAGAGGCATATGCTGCCTGATTTGTTTAGATGTTAATCTTTATCAGCTCAAAAACACAGCTATAATACTTTTCATCCCAAAGCAAACAACCCCAGTTTATTACAGGTGAAAAATATTAGTAGGCAAGTCCAAAACATAGCCAGATAATTAGAGAACTCCCTTCAACTTTCTAGAAAAAATGCAGAATAAGTGAAACCAGGTAGATTGCACTGTCTAGCTGAAGCAGACGTGGATTTCTCTTGATATTATGCACACTTACAGAAATAATTATGTAAATCTTTTTCAGCTATATCATCTTTAAATAGAAATCAGATTACATAAAGCAGATTGTAATCTCCTCTAGTCACTCTTTCCAGTTGAAAAGGCAATCATATAGAGCCAAGAAGCATACTTGTTGGCAATTTTAGCCCAGGGAAAAGGTTGTAGCTATTCTGTGATCCAATCCTATCATTTGAAACCTGATTACTTCTTGTTAATGCAGACTTTTTTAAAAAAAGCTTCCACTTTCCTTTTTACATATTGAAAAGACAAGTTTGTGTTATAAATCTACACAATCATTGGTTACCTCTTATGCATATTCATGCTTATTTTTTGATACACTGGCATCTGATCTGTGCTCATTAATAATGAAGAATACTTTAAACCATCTAATTTAAAACATTTTGCTCTGTGATCCACAAATGACTAATATTTGAAGTTGGCAAAATATAAATGATATTCATGTGCAGTGCAAATGAAAGATTAAAATATGAAATTAACAATATGCAAACATATTCATGCAAATACTGAGGATCTATTAGCTGAAAGAATGATTTCACACCTTCCTTGTTTTCTGCTAAGTACCATCCAATTATATTTTTGTTTTGTTTTGTCGGGCAACATGTTTGGATCTGACAAAAACATCCATGTTTCAAATGTTCTTTAGTTTACTTTGACTTTGCTGTAGTTTCTTCTGGTTTTAAGTTTTTTTCTTTCAACAGCAGCAGAAGGAACTTGCTAATAGACAAGTGTGATTGATATGATACTTTTAAATGCTTTTTCAGGATAATTGTGTTTTGTACTAGTATCTAAATACATATTATCACTGTTTCTTTAAAACAGAAAGAAAATGTGCATATGAATATGTGTGTGTGTATGTGTGTATGTGTGTGTGACAGAGACAGAGAAAAAAAGTATCCAGTAATAGGTTGTTGTTGGGTGTGTTTTTTTCGCCAAGTAAACTATCTGTGGTTTGCTCACGTTTATTTCAGACTCTTCCAAATTGGCTAAGGCATCTGTGGGTGGAGGAGTGATATGCACTTTATATGTTGTACATAAATGACATCATAATGCAATTGATGTGTGTCATTTGCACAGTGATATCATAACATGTGATATTATTATGGCTTCTGTGCATAAACAGAGTGTAAAACCAGGTGATACAGGATTTTCCAAGCTTATAACTTCCAAGGGTAGAAGAATTGAAGTTCTCAAAATTGGTGACTACAATTGGGAATCTGGGTTGCACCAATGGAGGAAAGTTGCTATAAGAGCAGTCTAGGCATTTGGTAGCTTTCTGTGGATTCTGCAATACAAAGTATGAGATCCAAAGTAAAATCACCATATTTTGCATGCTCACTGAAACATTAATTTTAGTTTCTCAGGCAGTAAACTCCTTTTTTGTGTTCATAGTAAACTTTTTTCTAAGTCAAGATGCCTTCAAACATAATAGAAAATTGTACCCACTGGGCCCTTCAAGACAATGCTTGAGCTAATGAGCTATCCATGAATTATTTTACCTATATTCCAGTGGTGGGATTCAAATTTTTTTGCTACCAGTTCTGTGGGCATGGCATGGTGGACCTGGCAGGGGAAGGATACTGTAAAATCCCCAGTCAGAGGTGATATTTGCCGGTTCTCTGAACTACTCAAAATTTCCACTACTGGTTCTCCAGAACTGGTCAGAACCTGCTGAATACCACCTCTGCTATATTCCCATGTTGAGTGAGTCAGTCATATGCTTCCAAACAAGACATTGTCCTGGTTACCTGGCCAACTGTGCCTGCTCTTCAAAAGATCCAATGGAAAGCAAATGACTATTTGTATAATCATAAACTAAGGCTAGAGGGACATGTGAATATGCTCAGATTATGATATGGACTGAAATTTGTTGGCAAATGTAAAAGTATTTTAAAATGCAATTAAAATTCATATGCCCTTGAATAGGATAAAGTCACTTGCTGGATCCCAGCCAAAAAAACCATTTGTATGTGGGAACATGAAAAAAAATGTTTCTCCCAAGAATTGAGAGATATAAGGAAATTTATAAACATCGCCTTTAAAAAGGTTCTGTATAAATATATTTTCCTGTTATAAGTGAATTATCTTCATTGACTTGAATTAGAATTGAGAACCAAATAATGCAAAAACCCTACTGAACAGAGTTGGAAGCTATCTTTAGGTCACAGTTGTCTTCATTTTATTGGTATAATTTTAAAAGACATTTAGAAGTACATGAATTACATAATAGTGACATCATATTCAGTCCAGAGTGCAGAGAAGAGCAACAAAGATGATTAGGGGACTGGAGGCTAAAACATGAAGGATCTGGGCATGGCTAGTCTAATGAAGGGAAGGACCAGAGGGAGACATGATGGCAATGTTCCAATATTTGAGGACCTGTTACAGAGAGGAGGGGGGGTCAACCTATTTTCCCAAGCACCTGAAGAACAGATAAGAAATAATGGATGGAAACTGATCAAGGAGAGATTCAACCTAAAAATAAGGAGAAATTTTCTGGTAGTGAGAACAATCAACCAATGGAACAGTTTGCCTTCAGAAATTGTGGGAGCTTCATCACTGGAAGCTTTCAAGAAGCAACTGGACTGCTATCTGTCAGAAATGGTATAGGCTTTGCTGCTCAACCAGCGGGTTGGACTAGATGACCTACAAGGTCCCTCTCAACTCTGTTATTCTGTTCCTCTTACTTTCTAATATTATATTTTAATTAAAGGTATTTTTCTATAACTAACTCATCTTTTTTTTTTTTTCATTTTAGAGGTACAGTGTAGAAATGTCAATCAGACATCCCAAAAAGATGGAATTGCTGAGTAAAGTGGAAGCTCTGAAGAGAAGTGGTGTTTTACTACCAAGTGATCTCCTTGAAAAAGTGGATTCAATTAATGAAAAATGGGAACTGCTTGGGGTATTTGCATTTTTATTACTGTTTGTGGGTTCTAGGTCCTTTTTCTGTGTCTTAAAGTATGCTCTGTATCTGATTTCCAATATGAAACTCAAATAGCTCTTTCATTCAATTCACTAGATACATTTCAAACATACTATTACCAAAAAAAGATATTTTTTCTAGGCTGTTTTTTTAATTCTCTGTTTGTGCCTGGTCTGACTTTAATAATTTTAGTACTTTAATACAGAAAAAATGTAAGTAAAATATGCCATGTATTATGGGTATGCACCAAGTCAGCTCTAATACAGTGTACACTATAATACAGATATACATGGACTGTCATACTTGAGTGAATATTAATAGAATTTATTCTGAAGGTACATGTTAGAGACATCTACTCTTTAACTATTTATTATACCCTAAAGATGAAAAGTGGGGGTGTCATTACATATTTCAGGTCATACTGATGCTGCAGAAAACAAATGTGCAAATAATGCACCAATCTGAAATCGCAACTCTGAGGGTAGCAATCAGGATGTGTTTCATAGTGACATGTGCAGCTCATGTTTGACAAGAAGTAAACAAAAAAGTAAACATTTTATATAATTCATTTCATGCTATAATAGTCCCACTGTCAACCAAATGTGAGATTCTAACAACATCTGCAGCACACTCTCAACCAGATACCAATAAGGCATTATGTCAGAAGCAATTGCCAATTGCTGAAAGGTACAGTATGTGAGAGGACAAGTGTGTTTCTCTTCTCCATTCCTTCCCTTAATTGGTGTCACTCAAGATCAAAGGTCAGGTAACTTTACAAACTAAATGATAAAGTCATAGGTAAGCAATAATTTTACAAAAAGTTCTACACTTTCAGACTTGGAAATAATAGCCTTAAAAACAATGATTGCAACCCCATATCACTGTATCCATCTCCTGCAAAAAAATAGTTTCAATGCAGTGTGATTCAGCTACACATAAACAATAACAATAGTCATAAAAATCAGAATAATGAGAGGAAAAATAAGTAACACAAGACAGCACTCTCATACAATTCACAATCAGAAAGAGGGTTAATCAGTTCTGAATTCCAGTCCAAATTCAAGTTCCAGGAGTTGCAAGTCAAAAGATTCTGTTCTACATACCTGCTGATTACAATTCTGATGACAATGGCAGAGAAAACGAACAAAGAGGCACATGTGGGAGCATATTGCTTTTTAAATCACATTCCAGAAGATAGCACTTTGAATTGACCTTACAGTCAAACTGGGTATTAATTAAATGAAATAAGAATGGAATAATACGTTCTGAAAAACATTCTCATCAGTTTCTATATCAGCTACCATTTTTGATACATCGTGTAGACAAGATCACATGTAATGTTTTCAGTAACTAATATATGACCAAGAATGCTCCATGCAGAGATCCACTTCTCAGAATTCTGCACTGAAGGTTTTAGGCTCAGCCAACCACACAAAAAGCCAATTTCTATACATCTACCATTTTTCATGAATCAAAATATATTTTGAAAAATTGCACTTTTAGATTGAGACATTTAAATACTGCAATATAAAAATGCAATATTTTATTGGGAGAAAAGTTTCTGTCCTTAATAGTTACAAAATATTCCCTGATGCCAATCTCTGTGGACCAATGATGTTTCCATAGTTTTGGAAATATTATTAAACACAGCCTGCACATATTTGCCTCTGTCCATTGGCCACCTATTACTTAACTGAAAACACTCAAACTGGAAAAAGAATTACATATACTATGCTGAATGGGTGGATATTTGATATGATGAGTTTTGATAGCATTGATCATCTGCTGAGGGTGGCATAAGATTATGTTTCCAACAGCTGCTTGAGGTATTCCTGAGTTTTTAATCATATTCAGCAGCAATAGTACTTCTAATTCTGTTTCATTCTGTTTCTTTTGTTTTCATTAGGAAGAAGCAATCCCCATGTCATATAAAATTTCTCTATCCAAGTCCCTTCCACGAGCAAGGTAGATGCTGTGTGATGTGGAAAGGACTATTTTATATCAAACTCAAGCTCCCCTTGGGCATACAAAATTAATTGTTCATCTTTTTAAATCAGTGCATTTCAAGACAATCCTAAATTCTTGGTTACCCAAAAGCATATACAGTCAGTCAGAAAAGCAATTAATCAACTTTCCTTCATTAAAATAATCAGATTTTAAAACAGAAATAAAAGACCACTCTGCCATTTAAAATGAATTTTAAAGGTCCTTTCTTTTTCTATCAAGAAGCAATTTTATATTACTTTTTCAAATTAATTTCTGCATTTACAAAAAAAAGTTGCTTTTTCTTCTTAAATGAAATTTCACGTCTAATGAGCAGTTTTTGATGGAGTTTTCTTTAATTTAATAAGAAAAACTGTGGAAACTAACAATACCATGCATAGTGTTTAATTGGCATGATTACTTTTAATTGGCATAAAAAATTAAAGACAAGGATTTTAACTTCTAACAATGGTAAAATGGAGAGATATGGTTTTTAATATTACTTTCATCTAAGGTGAACAGTGTGGAATGGAAATACATTAGAATGAAATGTCAGTGGTGCGTACAGTTTAATCTGTGAAATTTTGTCCCCTGTGCTGAATATTACTCAGTCTCAATTGCATATTAAACAACCCTATCAAGGCAGGCATTGGCATCTGCTGTGCTGACACAAATTGTGAATTAAATGAAATTGATGTCCTCTGTCGTATATTTATGAAGACGGACCATTCTCTGAAGTATTCTGTTTATGAAGAATTTATGATTGCAAACTGTTCCAGAACAAAAAAGTGGCAATAAATTCTTTTTTGTGACCCTTCCCACCAAGGGCATTGATTTCACCTCCTGCTGCTACTTTTGTTACAGTGTAAAAACAATAGCTAAAGCTGGATTCCACTGAGAGCCTTCAAATTATCAATATCTGAGCCATCAAAATAGAAGGGTGTTGCCAAGAATGCTTGTTTTATTCCGTTTCAATCTCCCAAATACATTATTTGCACAATGTTTGAGAATAGATGAATATCTGTTGATTTAATTCAGTATGTATTTCAAAGCCTATTGTTAGGTTGTTAAATTCTCAAAACACTTATTTCCCATTTCACTGATTTGAATGGGACTCATCCTAACTTACTCTCCCTTTAATAATCCATTGATTATTGCAGGCAAAGAAGGTTTAACTTTTGGAAGCCTTGATAGCAATAACTCCAATTACAATGCAACCATTCACCTAATTTTAATGAGGGGTCCTTGGTGCTCTCTGAGATTGCTTGTTTTCTTTCAAACATTTCATTACCTTAACTAGGTAACATCATCAGGGCTAGTAAGGAGTGCTATTTGCTGTCAGTTTATATTATGGTATATTGCCTGTCTGCATGGGTTGGGGTGATCTGAAGACCCCTCATTTCAACCCTGAGCTACAAATATTCTCTTTACAGATACATAATTTTAAGGTATTTTGAGTCATTGTAATTACAGTCAAAACCAAGTCTTTAATGCCTCCAATTTGACTATTAGTTAATTATGTATGCAAAATTAGAGGTGATGATGACTGTGACTATTATCCCACATCATTAGGGTATATCTAACACACAGACATGCAGAAAATTCTAAAGAAAGATAAGTAATAATACTGAATAGAAAAGTAGGTTCTCAGTCATAGGTCTACTTGCAGTTTTTTGGATCTAAATCAGTTCTTACTGAAACTCTTCTATAGGAAAAAAAAGTGGCATTAAGATGAATTGAGATTACTAGATTTTGCTTTAACTAAGCCATCATTGTTTGCTTTTGGCTTTTGTGAGAATCAAGTCTCAGTGATCAGCAAATTATATAAGTCCAGCATTGTGGCAACTTCAAATCATAAGTTAACATCTATGTTTCAGCTGTGTATAACACTTTTGACTATATATCTGTGGTAGGTATTTTAACACAGCCAGAATATTATACCCTTAAGCTTCTATTGATGACCAAACGTCTTTGAAAATTGTTCATCCAAAAGCAATTCAGTTATCTATATGGGCTCAGATAGTATTTTGATAAGTCTATTAGAAATATACTAAAAATATTAAAACCTATTCTGTATCTATTTACCTGGGATTGAGCCATGCTGAATTCAACAGAATATTCTTTTTAAAAAAACATGCATAAGATAAATCAGGAGTTAGAGCAACTAATTTGGTTGCTTTCGAGCCAGTGGTTAGCTGTTAGATATACATACTTTAGAACCTTAGATTAATCTATGTTTTCTTTCTGTGTTGCATTAGAAAACTCTACAAGAGAAGATTCAAGAATCATTGGTGGGGCACAGTGGGTTAGAAGCACGTGACTTGCTTTCCCCTGAAAGTGGCAACTTAGTAAGGCAGCTGGAGGTCAGAATCAAAGAATTGAAAGGGTGGCTGAGAGATACTGAGCTTTTTATCTTCAATTCCTGTCTGAGGCAAGAAAATGAAGGAACAATGAATGCGGAGAAGCAACTGCAGTACTTTAAGGTAATAAAAAAGCATTGATGCAAATTGGGTTGATTTTTGGAACAATATAAAATATGAAATGCATATATGTTTAAGTACTTCTACCTGCATATTCAGTTGTGAACATATAATTTCTGCCCATTTATATGAAGACATTGCCTTTTCTGTAACAGAACTTAATTTTAAAAATAAATCTTTCTATACATAAACATTTGCAAGGACCAAACTAATTTCAGTTTTACATCCTGACTCCTTATAACTGTCTCATTGCATTCAGTACTGAATTCTGTATACTCCATCCAGCTTAATGAAGACTCATTGTGTGATTTTTAGTAGTAAATTACTCTTGCATAAGTTTAGCATACATAAGAGAAAAAGGAAAAACCATGCAGCTGGTTTTGTATTAGTACAGTACTGTGACCAATTGATAGAAGTAAACCAGCACCTTTGCTATATAGGTTGAGATTTGACATTAGTTGTTGCCCACTAGCCAATATTCTGGCACAGATTGAGTTTTGTTAATCAACAAAAATGTTGACCAAGGATAGCAATTCTGACAGCAGAATGTATCATAATAATTGTATTGTTTTATCCACATCATAACAATGTAAAAGCATAACAGAAGTCATAACTGAGCACATATGGGAGGATCATACTTGATTTTTGGGTACACTCAGAAATGGGGGGGTGGGTTAAGGGAAGATGCAACATTGTGCCATGTTGTCCCATTTTGTCCCATCTTGCCTTATAGTAGATGAGTGCTGCTGGGAAGAGTTTGAAAAGGAGTGACTTTTGTGATATGGCAGCAGATCAGGCCATAGTATTAAAGACTCAGTTACAACTATTCATTTTATCCTCAAAGTAATCAAGTTGCAAAAATGCCTGTTAATCAAGTCCTACGTTAATCATGTTATTATTCAGCTCATTAATAATTAAGATGTGTTTCATATATTATTCCTTTAAAAATTAAACAATCAGATTATAGAGGATAATTATACATTGGCTACAGTGAGTACCCACATTCTTTGCGGAGGTATACTGTAGGTCCAATCTTCTAGCCTCCTTTGTCTCATTAAATTTAATGTCCAGAATAAAAAAGTTTTCAGATCAAATTCCTACAAGACACTTTATGCAAGATAAAAGCTGATGTATTTAACATTACAAAATATATAATGCATATATTTTCAATAAATTTTTTAGAAAATTTTCAAGAACTTGGAATTTAATTTAGCAAAAAATACAATAATAATGGATTTGTCTATGATATATGAACCATAATTTCAGAATAATTTTTCATATTATATTCTGACACAGTATTTATAATATTTGTAGACAAACATTTATTATGTAAAACATAATTCTTTAATTTTTTTGGTTTTCATTTTGCATTGCATTAGCTCTGTAAAAAAATAAAATTTGAAAAAAGGAATTGATCATTATTCAAAGATTCTAAAACTGTATAGTAATATAACTTGTTGAGCAAATATCACTTCAAACTTTTAAACATCTTAATTTATACGTTAAGTAGTTGACTTACTTGGCTTATACAACTGAGACCAGAATTTCCATTGCTGCGCAAGATAGTTGCTAAATGAGTTATGACCCATTTTACAACCGTTTATACCATGTTTGTTAAGCAAATCACTGCAGTTAAGTGACTCTTCTGGTTAATCCTGTGGTTAAGTAAATTTGGCTTGCCCCATTGACTTTGCTTGTTGGAAACCAAACACCATATATATACATTGGTTGCCAGGCACTTGAATTTTGTCCAGACTGTGGGGTGCTATAATGGTGGCACAGTGGTTAGAATGCGGTATTGTAGGCTAACTCTGCTGACTGCTAGGGATTTGATCCTCACTGGCTGAAGGTTGATAAAGGTTGGTAAAATGAGGATCCAGATTGGGGGGGGCAATATGTTGAGTCTGTAAACTGGTTAGAGAAGGCTATAGAGCAATGTGAAGTCTAAGTGCTATTGCTATAAGTCATAACTCACTTTTTTCAGTACCTCGTGACTTCAAATAGTTGCTCAACTAATGCTTGTAAGTTGAATACTACCTGTACTGTAAATGTGTCAGAACTTTTCAGAAGACTAAATAGGAGGATGAATTCAGTGTTAAGACTACAAGGATTTCCACTCTTTTAGAGTGTATTTAGCTGCAAACATTTTCAAGTCTTCTGGAACAATTTGCTCAAACTGCAGATATCTAGAGAAGTGCTGGATACAGATAAGTAGTAGAATTAGATCCGCAGATAAACTCCGTACACTGCCTCAATACACTCCAGGAGGAAAAGCAGGATATAAATCTAAAATATAACTGTAAAAAATAAATACATGGCTTTTTTTTTTAGCTCATCCAGTGAAGGAGAACTCGTTATTTCTTGAGGTAATTAGTTTCACAATCAAATCGTTCTAACTGCCAGGATAAGTTTCCTAACATTCCCTCAGAACCTGCCTTCTTGTAATTCATATCTTGTGTCCTGTTCTTTGGATCAGTGGAAATTGACCATTTTCCGCACTGTATCCTTTTAAGTATTTGTAGAGTTCTACCATGTGTCCTTTCAGACTTCTGAAACTTCAACCTGAAGTTGCCCATACCTTAAATCTCTCTTTGTAGAACTTCATTTTTAGTTGACACTCCCTACTGAGTCACATTTCCCATTTTTTGCAGCCATGGCATATTCGAGTTTAGTTTGTCATCAAGTAGTATGCCAATCTTTTTTGAAAGATACTATCTGTATTCCCTATCTTTGCATTTACATCTCTTACATTTCATTAATTTTATTTCTCAAATCTGCCTTCTGAAATATTGGCTATTCAGTCCAATTGGGGACTGGATAGCTTTTGTTCCATTTCTTCATTTAATAAAAACGTTGAGGAGTTACAAGAGCAAGAGCAATCCCAGCACCTACTCCCAATTTAATGAGGAACCATTCATGAGCACTATTTGGATTTTCATTGTTATTTAACTTTCACTTAACTAGTTTACTAATCAAAATGCCATAGACTATTTATTTAAATATCTTGCTGATATCAAGAAGCATTATGTATAAAGCATACCCACAATTTACTGATGAAATTATCTAATAAAAAATGAAATAAAGTTAACCTAGCACGCCAGTGCTGATTTCCTCTAATGACCACATTCTTTTCAAATTCCTTCTGACCAATCACTTTATACCATGCAAGAAATTTCCCATGGCTGGCTATCACATTATTGATCTATGTTTCTTCTATTCTCTTTTAACAGGATAGAAACAACATTTGCTGTTTTCTAATCATCTGGCATATTGCCAGTTATTCACTTTGTAGTATTTTCATTTCTCCTTTCAGTCCACTTGAATGGACTATAAGTGTAGGTAAGAACAATACCTGAGCCCATTAACTTGTTTTTTTCTCTTACACTTAAAATTTACATTTAACACAGTCCCTAAGGCAACAAATGAATCACCTTTAAGTAAATGTCCGGTTTTAAAAGCATTGTTGCATACTGATTTTTATGAGCCAATTATCTATCCTTACAATAAAAATAACTAAGAATAAGCAACAAAATAATAAAACAGAATATATTTAAATATAATACCAATTTATAAATTCAGGACAAAAACTTTATATAGCAAGTAATATAAGCTGTTATAATTCTTCTTAAAGTGTGATCCCTTGATCCTCCAAAGGTAATCACATTCTGAAAACAAACACTTTGACAATTCAGACTAAGCAGAAATGTGTGACATGATTTAGAAATGATACGCTAAACTTTAAGGATTGATTGATTGATCATGTGTGGTCAGGTTGGTGTCACTATTAACAACAACATAGACAGATCTTCTCAAAGAAGATCTGCTCCTGTCCTCCCTCTTTTGATCTTCCAAAGGTGCACTCTTGATCCTCCAAAGGTAATCTGTAATCAAGTTCATCCTCGTTGCTGATGGTTCTCTTCTTCTTACCTTTCTTTTCTTTCCTTGCATTGTTATCATCTCAAGAGAACTTCACATAATGTGTCCAAAACATAATAATTTGAGACTGGGCCTTTGAGTCTCAAGTGGATATCTGGATCCATTTGTTCAGTGATTCTTTTTTTTTTTTTTTTCATTTTCTTGGGTATCCACATTTATAAGTATTATTTTTCTCCTGCTTCTTCACTGTCCAATTTTTGCTTCAATAACATGTCACAAGGAAAACCTTTCCCTGCACAATTCAGATCTTTGTAAGTATGGACATGTCAATGGCATCTGAATATTCAACCTCAAACTTTTTACTGTGGACCTCACCCCATTTTAAGAGGTCCTTAAAGGGGGCGTGCATAAGCATACCAGCATGCCTACCATCCCTGTCTTACTGTCCCCATTTATCTGTATTTACTTCCTTTTGTTCATGTTCATGTTCATATCTATACTTGTTATCTTGTATATGTTTGACAAACAAACAAACAAATAAATATCTTTCCTTCATTATTACCCTGTTAAGTGCTAGTTCTGTAAGCATATTTCTTGACTCCAGGCTTTCTTTCTTTTATTTTATTTAACCCCACCTTTATTATTTTTCTAAATAACTCAAGGTGATGAACTTACCTAATATTCTTTCCTCTTTCTCATTTTCCCAGAACAACAACCCTGCGAGGGGAGTTAGGCAGAGAGAGAGAGTGACTGACCCAAGTTGGTCATCCAGCTGGTTTTTCATGTCTAAGGCAGGACTAGAACTCACAGTCATCCAATTTCTAAACTGGTGCCTTGACTATTAGACCAAACTGGCTGTTGTTGGTAGTCAGTCCTAAAAGATAGCAGCTGTCAACCACTTCAATATATTTAATGTTAATAATATGGCTGATTGCTGTACCTGTTAAGTAGATTGATGTTTTAATAGATTGATAAAATTATATTTTTATTCTAGTGGGACATAGTGATAGCTGCCAACACTTCAGTAATAATATACAGAATTTGTATCTATTAGAATTGTCTTCCAGAATAACTTAATCTTCATATTAAGTTATATGATTAGAATTTTAATAGATTTTTCCCAGTGT